TGATTGCCATGGTGCATGTGCTATCACTTTCAATCGCAACTTACCATGGCATTGAAGGTCCCATGAACAGGAACCGCCCGACGAAACCGTGCAAGATGTTCGGCTACATAGCGCCTGTTCTCGCCATTGTGGCCGCGACTTCCTGAGCGCTGGGCTTCCACTTCGACGGCGCCCTGTATGTGCATGCAACATGTACGCGTGCGCATCTCACCGTGGACACCTTCCAGAATACCAGCGCCAACACCTCCAACAAGGTCCTTGAGGTGTGCCCTGGCGCAGGTGACTGGCACGAAAGCTCGTTTACATGGTGCCCCGAACACCCATCTTCTTGTCGCACGGGTTACGCGTGGCCCAAGGAAGACGGAGAGCAGCGGAACCGAATCGTGATTTCTATCCGGGATTCTACCATGCGTCACACTTTTCGCCAGGGTTCAAAAGCATGCAGCACGCAGTGGCACCTCATCCGAAAAGGGCATCGGTGTGGTTTGCCGGAGTACTTAGGAATGGAGCGAGCTCCGATGCGGGTTTCCCCAGCGCCGAATTCACTGATGGGGCCAACCGCCCATGGTCTCGATAACCCCTTCTGCATGGATTGTTTACATTGCGCATCTACTCGCGGCCAGTGCACGATTGCCGATGTTCCTTTTGATTTGGAATACACTGGAGTGGAATTCACTAAAGGCACTATTGGCAGCTCTATCGCTTACATCCATAGTCAGCGCAACTACGTCGATGCTATCTTCATCAACAGTTGCATCCATGATATGCATTTCGAACCTGACGTGTTCACAACTGAAGTTTATGCACAGCGTGTGCGTTCCAACTTGCTGTCCCTACAAGGCTCAGCGAAGGTGATCGTATGGGTGTCCTGTAACCACTTCAGGGAGGATGCTGGCCATTCGACCAATGCGCGAGGTCTACGATGGAACGAGGCTGTTCGGAGCATGATCAACGCGGAACTTCTTGACGTTGCTCATTTTGATGTCGCAGAGATGAGCCAAATCCAAGCGATGCACCATGACCGTTGTCATATGGTGCCAGAATGGTACGATAATGTGGTTGGCATAATGCTAAATTTTGTAGTCAGAGGCCCTGGCTACACAACCAATTAAGTGCAGCGACGCGTTGAATGGCTCACCCGGGCCTGGCAGAGAAGCGCGCCGCCACATAGTCGAAAGCTTTGATCTCCAAATGCACGGATAATCCTAATGCACAGATGCCTGATGGCCCTCGAACGCAGCTGCTTGAGGGGTGGAGCGAGAGGTACCCAAAGATTGGGCACCGCGTTTACCCCCTCCTCCCATCCTGCTTTTTGCGCGTTTGGGAGCTCTCCTCGGCGAGGTGGGTCTGCCGGCCCCCGCGCCCCGATCCACCCCCGAGTCCAAACCAGCGGAAACGAGCTCCTGGTCCCTGTCCTTCCTTCCCCCCCTCCTACTCCTTCCCCCTTCCCCCCTCCCCCATGGAGACTTTCGCTTGCAGGTTGCCGAACAGCGGATCACCAAGTAACGGCATGTGCGACTTCGCAGCGTTTCCGTGCCAGTGCGCCGTCCAGATGCGGCTTCGTGTGCCGAGGAGCCCCCAGGGGGTCGGCGCTCGACCGCGTCGGTCCAGGATTGGGCCCAGCCTAGAGACCATTTCTTTAATGCTTGGGGCATGACGGGCGTCATGGCCCCCGCCCCCCCCCCATATGACGTAACGCTCCCTCCCCAGTGCGCTACGGGCACTGCCGCCGTGCGTATTGGGATCCGCGTAGGTGTCCGCGTAGGAGTCTGGTCCGCAGTCGTCGTCGACGTCGTCGTCGTCGCTCGTGGCTCGTGGCTCGTGGCTCGTCGCTCGTCGCTCGTCGCTCATCGTCGTCGTGCGCGCGGACGCGGCTGGAGCGTCGATGACGTCACGCTTCGCGCCGGCGGCGCCTGGGAATACTTAGGAATGACGGAGGACGGGTGGCACCAGCATGTAGGTGGCGATCTCCACCACAACGCCTGTGTACACCTCAGCGCCTGCGTGCACCACAGCGCTTGTGTACACCACACCGCCTATGTACACCACAGCAGCCGCGTGCAACACAGTGTCAGTTTGTGCCACCGCGCGCGCGGGTGCAACAGCTCTTGTGCACACCACAGCGCCTGCGTACACCACATCTGCCGTGTGCAACACAGCAGTGTACACCACAATGCCTGCGTGCATTGCAGTGCCTGTGTACACCACGGCGCTTGTGTGCACCACAGCAACCGTGTGCAACACAGCACCACTGTTTCATGTAGAATGTTTGAAGGAATCATTATGACAAAATGGAGCGCTTGTGGATCCCATCGAAAGCACAAGAAAATAATCCTTATGGATAAGGGAACGCCAAGGGAATCTACGAGTCCTTCCGAGTTCGCCCGCACCACCGTAACTCCTCCCATTTGTGTCCACAAGGCTCCAGCTAAATTGGCCGTCCGAGAACCAAGCGGGCCGATTCGATGGAAAATTCTGCGGTGCACGCTGAATTGCGCACGTGTGCTGCAGCGCCAACCCGCACGACAGGGGGTAAGGAGTTGGAGGAGGAGGAGGAGGAGGAGGAGGAGGAGGAGGAGGAGGAAGAGAAAAAGGAGGAGGAGGAGGGGGAGGAGGAGGAGGAGGAGGAGGAGGAGAAGGAGGAGGAGGAGGAGGCGGAGGAGGAGGAGGAGGTGGAAGTGGAGGAGAAGGGAAGACGGAAAAACTTCGCATCCGATTATCAGCAGTTTCCTGGCGTGGCGCTTCCAAAGCAGATCCTCACGTACAGGCTCCTTCTACTTGTCCTATGCACGCAGGCAGCGTGGTGTACAATAGCGCTGCGTTGCACGCGGATGCTGTGGTGTAGACAGGTGCTGTAGCGTGCACAGGCGCGGCGGGGCACGCAAGCATTGTGGTGTACGAAGGCGTTGCGTTGCACATGGTTGCTTCTGGTGTGCACATGTACACCGGCGCTCTAGTGTACGCAAGCACTGCAGTGTACACAGGCGCAGCGTTGCACACGGTTCTTGCGATGTACGCAGGTGCTGTGGTGTACACGCGCGCTGTGGTGCACGCGAGCGTTGCGGTGTACACAGGCGCAGGGGGGCAGATCGCCACCTACATGCTGCTCGCGTCGTCGTCGTCGTCGTCGTCGTCGTCGCTTGTCGCTCGTCGCGTCGTGCGCGCGGGCGCGGCTGTGGTGCCGGAGCCACACGGCGGGGGGGGAGGGGGGCCTTACGTCATCGCCGAGCATCAAGAAACGCTCTCCTACGGGCGCCGCAACAGGCCAGCAAGACAGCTACAAGAGGTCCAAATTGTTTCTTGATTTAAGAGAACTTGCATTTCTCGCACATCAGTTCTTCGTCAAGCCGCGTCCCAGTGGCAAATCTGTCAATCGGGGCCACTTGTCAGATTGGCGGGGGTAGCTGGGCACTGCATGAGGCGGGTTGCCCGTCGATTTCACACACTATTCACCCAAAGGGGTGGGCGGACTTCCTTGTCCTTGTCTTAGATGCTGTGTGGCACTTCGTCGGAGGGTAGGCCCGACGTTGCCCCATCAGCCAGACCACTGCTGCTACTGCACCTCGCCTTGCCTCCACCGAGCGCCCCAGTGGCAGGGTTCGCATGGCGCCACCGTGCCCATGTCGGCACACCCGTCACACGCCTCGTGGACGAATAGGGAGTTCCCCCTCTTTCGTCCCATCTGCCTTGCAGCACTCGCACCCGCATATAGTTGGGTCCGTCGCCAGGACAATTTCGACTCCGATTTGGAGTTAGAAGAATGATCGCCCGTTTGACAGCACCCGATCGTGGGCCACTTGCATTTCACGAGCGGGCGTGGGGTACGATGGCGGCGACGACGACGACGTGCTCTCGATGGTGGCCGGCGCTCAGTCGAGGGCGCAACTTCGACCCCCCTCCATCCCTTCCTTCCCCATATTCCCTCTCTCCCCTCTTTCCCTCCCTCCCCCTCGTTGTCGCCCTTGCTGGGTAAAGAAGGACGCACGTTTGTGCACTGCGCATGTTGGGTATGTGTCAACGACGGCTTGTGGTTAAAAGCTGGTTGGGAAGGCAATGCATTTTCCTCAAACGTTGCCCTTTCCGGAGCGCTCTTTGTTGTGTCCAACAGGTGGTGGACCATCTGAGCCAGCAGTAGTTTAGAACATGTGCCGTGAGAGTGGGGGCTTAGTGGGCCCCGGAAACGGCAGGGCCGTTTTTTCACCGTTTCCGAAAAAGCATCTCTTGAAAATGGAGACGGGGGAAAAACGGCGACTGGAAACGGCAATAAAACGGCTCCGGGATTGGAGTTGGAGCCAGAACCGGTAAAGAAATTGCGAGAGAATCGGTAAATCAACGGCGTCGGAACTGGCATAAAGCGTCAAAACGGAACTGGTGAAAAAACGACCTTGTCGTTTTCAGGGCCCACTAAGAGTGCGGGTCGCTCTTGCGTCTTCAAGCGGTTGCGACCCCGCTGTTGGGCACACGCCTGTTCAAACGGAGATCGAGCATCCCAAAGTTTCAGGCGATGGACGTCCGTGCCTTCAGGATGTTCGGAGATGCTCTTGCCTCATCCGCCTCCTCCTCCTCCTCCTTCTCCTTCTCCTTCTCCTCCTCCTCCTCCTCCTCGTCGTCCTCCTCCTCGTCGTCCTCCTCCTCCTCCTCCTCCTCCTCCTCCTCCTCCTCCTCCTCCTCCTCCTCCCCCCCCCTCCTCCTCCTTCTCATCCTCCTCTTCTCCTTCTCCTCCTCCTCCTCCTCCTCCTCCTCCTCCTTGTGCTCCGCAGAACGACGGCAATCGCACTCATTGAGCCGTGTTCTTGGCGGCGCCAGAATGCGCGAGTTATTCCACACAGTGACAGCCACAGAGTGGTCGCTACGCTCAATCATAATTTGGATCATTCTGTCTCAAGCGGCGGCACCTGTTTCGCATGGCGCATGCTGAGCAGCGCCATGCCGGCGACATCATGTCGGGCGTCTTGCTAATGGCACCATCCAGAGGAACGCATTGAGCAGTCGCTGGCGCGATGCATGCGGCGGCCAAGGCATCGGAGTCAACAGGCACGTTCGTCTTCACGCACCGCCTGCTGGAGCATGCAGAGCGACTCGAGCTCCCGTTGTACCTTCGCGAGAAGTGCACGGCCAAGTTCGTGGACCTCTCGGGCCTGGACAACTGGGACAGCGTGTCCCTGCGCGCCATAGCCGCGGCGGTGAAGTACGGCCTGCGCTCGACGCGCTCACTAGTGCTGGACGGGATTGCAATCGGGTGCCGACCAGAGGTGTTTGAGGACTGGTGCGCGGCCTTTGAGGAACACCCTGGGCTCCAGCACGTCTCTCTCAGGCACTCGGGCCTGGACGACTCGGGGGCGCAGCGCTTGGCGCAGGTGCTGCACGCGCACCCCGTGCTCTTCTCCCTCGACCTGTCGCACAACCGCGTCGGCGACGCCGGGGTGGCTGCGCTGGCAGAGGCCCTGGAGGATGTTGGTTCGTTCGAAGTCCAAGGTGGACATGAGTCGAAGACGGGAAGAATCCATAAACATAAACTTTTGGTGCTCCGCGCAGATCCCAAAAAAACGCGCGGAGCGACGAAAGCTTATGGCTATTCAGTTGTTTCTCTTCTTCTTCTTCTAATGGGGGGGGGTCACGGTCTCGGGATGGGGACGATCGGCCAAGGGCAATTTGAGCAGAGCAACGACGTCGGCCCCCCTCCTGCCTTCACCTCCAGAACCGTGCCAGGCCCAGGGCGCCGCAGCGTGCCAGTTTCGCCTATGGGACTCCTGGGCTGATTTTGGCTTCCAGGCTGGTTCCCAGACGTCCGACGTATCAAAAAACAGGGTCGCCGAAATCCTGACGCCAGCCTTCCCAGGTCCGGTGCTTCATCCTGAGTGTTGTTGTTCGACGGTCCAGGGTCAGAAATATGCATCAGGAGGAAGCAATGGCCAGGAAAAGCCCCAGCGCTGAAATAATGACCACATCGGAGGGCTGGGTTGTACCCTGCAGCCCCCTTTGCTACACGTTGCCCCCTGGCTGCCCGTGGATCTCCTGCGAGCCGAGGACAACCACGCTCTGCTCGAGTTGTGCCTCGAGGGTACCGACGCCAGCGAGGCCACCCTTCACGGGCTCGCGATGGTGCTGGAGCGGAACTCGTTGCAGCTGACTGGGCGCGAGGGGACATTCACACCGTCTTCCAACCTCTGGTGATGTTGGCTCTCACACTACTTGTTGAGAAACTCAATCGCAACCTCAGGGGACATATTGCTTGCACATGACCTGTCGGAGGTCCGCGCGGACCTCCGAAAGCTGATCATGTCTATGCAGTTTGTTCGGTTCCATCGCTCGACGTGACGAGCACATACATAACAATATCGGCAAGACGACCACACCGCGTGAACTCCCAATGACGACGCCGACATGATAAGCACTAAGTAACGCCCGCGCTCAAATGTCGGCAACGCTCGCGGGTGAGCACCATGGCCAGGTTATCGGTATGTTCTTTCTTGGTGTGAGTGCCTCGCAGCAAAATTGCGAGGCGGATGAATGCCCTGGTGTTCGTCCAAGTTGAGCCTTGACTTCGCCGCAGTCATGGCTGGTTCACGGGTCGACCTTGCAGTTTCGTTTCCAAGATGTTGAAGTGCCGTGCAATATGCAATGCGGGCGTTTTGGCATTGGCAGTCTGACGCCACTTTAATGCGAATGATTCCGCCCGCATTGCTTCAACGGCGCTTTGGCCCTCATCTCTTTGGCGCTTTCGCTACAAACTCTGTTCGCGGGGATGCAGGTTCAAGTCGTGCCTGTCCCTCTACAGGAGAAATGTTCAAGAATAGTAAAAAAATATGGGAACGATTTGTGGTGCATTTGTTTTCATTATTTGTTTTACATCTGTGTGGGGGTATGTTTTATGTTTCGTCCAAAATCCGCCCGTAGGGGGACATGCCCGACCTAATGGTAGGTGCGCCGCCCCCGTTCTCGGCACTGCTGGTCGGGCGAGACCTCGCGCCACCGGTCCAGGGCCCGGATCGGCCCTGGGGCTGGGCGGCGGCTGCCACGGTGGGCCTGTCTTGCGCACCCTCCCGGAGCAGCTGTCTGTGTACCTTTTCGGGAGCCTTGAGACGGGGGTTAATGCAAACGGGGGTCAGCCAGAGCGCCCGATCTTGCAGGATCCTGCAGGGCCAGGGTCGCACTGACCCGGGCTTGGGCGCAGGATCCTGCAGGATCCTGCAGGATCATATTCGCGTTGACCCGGGTTTGGGTGCAGGATCTTGCAGGAGCTTGCAGGATCCTGCAGGCTTGACTGACCTGGGTCTGGATATGACCCGGGTCAGAAGAGCCCTGACCTTTCTGATTGGCACCTCCGTTGCTCGGTGGCGATCAAGGATCTCTCAGCATGTGCAGGCGCATCCCCGAGACAGAGGGTTACCGCCCTCGGCCTGCCGACCTCGGGGCAAGGGGTGAGCTCGAGGCGGGCTCGTGTTCTCGCACCAGTCGGTCGCTGTCGCGTGTTCGTCGCAGAATCAGGAGGGGAAAACACACACACACACATTCACACACACACACACAGCCACAAGCCATCGTCGATCGCCAGGAAAATATTGGAAAATATGGGAAGTGTGGAGGGGGAAAACGAAAATCCCCCCAAACAGTAGAAAAAATAGGGAACATATGGGTATTTGATTTGTGTGTGTGTCCCTGGGCCCCTTCACATACCGGGGGTCCGCGAGGGGAGACGACCCTGCGTTCCCCCGGGCTGTTGCTCGACGGTCCCCGCGCACGGCCCCGAGAGGCCGACATTGGTCGGGTATGGCCAGGACCCCCGGGTAATGGAGGATGACGATTAATAAATGACCGGGGGTCGTGTTCACGCGGCGGCGCCCGGGACGACGATTAGAAAAAACCGGCCGCGGGTTGGACATTTTTTTCATCGTTCTCCTCCAGTCAGAAAATTGTGCAGAAATCGCAAGAAACTATTTTTTTAAGCGTTCTCTCCCTTTTTTTAATTAATCGTCATCCCGCATCAAGGGAACCGGGTTAGTGGTAAGGCCACAGAGCCTTCGAATTGGCCAGAATCACTAAACCAGGTTTGCCATAGCTGGTGCTTTTTCGGGTGACGGCAGTTCCGGTTAGTGGGAATGGGACGGGGGGGCGCTCCCGGTACAGATCACTAAACCAGGTTCCACTGAACCCAGTATTGCCAACGCCCGAATTGGAGAGAGATCGTGTCCCTCTTCACCTGTTGGCCAGCATCTCGCTGGACATCTCACTGGACTGCAAGCATCGCAGAAAAGAAGACGAGGACTCGGAGGGGGAGGAAGAGGTGCCCATGCCGCTGCCCTTCCCTCGGTTTTTCCCCTCGTGGGGCTTCCTGGGAGGCCCTCGTCGCCACCGCTGGATTCGCTTCGAAATTCTGGTCAGAACGGACCCTGGGAGAGTTCCCGGGAGTGGCGGTGTTGGTACCATTTGGTTTCCCCGAGGACGCGTTCGTGGAGTAGTGCATGCTGGCGTAATGTCGGGTCTGTTCTCCCTGCTCCCCCTCTCCTCCTTCCGTCACCCCATCTTTCCCTTCCCTCCCCACCTCCCTCCTCGCAGTGGCACACAGCTGCTCACTCGTCGTGCGCGCCCTCCACATCATGCACGGATGTCGCACTGCTTTTTCCAGATCGTAGCCCGCAAGTTCATGTGGAAACCAAAAGGTACCACCACTACTCCCCAGACCTCTCCCGAGGCGCGTTCTGACCAGAATTCCGAGGCGAATCCAGCGGTAGCGTCGAGGGGCTCACAGGAAGCCCAATATGGGGAAACGAGGGTAGGGTTGCGGTATGGGTACCTTCTCCTCCTCTCAGTTCACGGGTCAACCTTTTTGGTTCAACCGGGCCTCTGTCTCTGCATTCGGAGGCCTGGGTCCCTCTACCGAGGATCGAGGACTCGAGGGTTCGAGGATCGAGGATTCGAGGATCGAGGATCGTGGATAGAGGATGGAGGATTCGACGGTCGATGACCTGTGGTGCTGCCAGAGGCGGCCTTGGCCAGGATTTCCATGAAGGCCCCCCCCGGCCTGCCTCTATGGAGGCACCCCCCGCGAGGCCCCGAGTGCCCCAGGGGCTCCAGAATGTGGCGAAGTGATGGTCGGAGAGCGAGAAGGTATACCGATGCTGCTACCCTGGCCCGGTGTTCGCCTGTGTCGGGGCCTCCCATAGGGAGGCCCTCGCCGCCGCCGCTGGCTTCGCTTCCCACTCCTGGTCAGAGCGCACCCCGGGAGAGGTCCCGTGGACTGGCGGTCTCCGTGCCTCCCTGGCTTTTCCCCAAGAGAGCCCTGCAGGGGCCTCAGAATGGAGCCAACTGTCGAAACCCAAGAGACCCAGGCCACCCTGGAGGCAAGCAGGATGCTTCTTGACGTGGGTCTCCACTGTAGTCCTGCCTCCCCCTTCGGTGGCTCAAGGATGGGGTCCTGAGGGATGGGGTCCCAAGGACGATCGGTAAATCCGGGGGAGTGGTCCCGGGGCTCGAGTGGCGGCCTCGGTACCTCCCGGCTCCCCCACAAGAGAGCCCCCAAGGGCCTCAGAGTGGAGCCCAAGTGGCGGGGACGGCCTCGGGCGAGGGACGCGCTCCCTGACTCAGGGGGGGGGAAAAACGCACACAGACACAATCCACCGTCGGTCCCCAGGAAAATAGGGGAAAAGATGGGAAGTGGTGGGGGGGGGAAGACAAACACCCAGAAAACATAGGAAAGGATAGGGGAAGCCCTGTGATTTGCGTGTATATGTGTTGGTGTGTCCCAGGGCCCCCTTCCCCGACATCCGCCGCTCGGCTCCGCTCCCTCCGCGGCCCTACATATGAAGCTCCCGACCCGCCCCCCCGGGGTCCGGGGCGCGAGGGCGGGCCCACGGGGTCCGCAGTCGAGGAGGCGCGCTGGGATCGAGGAGAGCACGTCGTCGGACAGCCTCTTCTTCCTCCTCCTCCTCCTCCTCCTCCTCCTCCTCCTCCTCCTCCTCCTCCTCCTCCTCCTCCTCCTCCCCCTCCCCCTCCTCCTCCTCCTCCCAGACCCGTTCCTGGACGACCCGTTGGCAGCTGCCCTGTGCTTCTTCTAGACCTCGCGGGCCCTGTCTCCAGATGCAGGGCCGGCGCTTTCCAGGAGGCGGCCTCCGTCCAGGAAGCCTTCCCTCCCCCCCCTTAATTACCTCGGTTCTTCCTTGATGTTCTGAGCTGGTCAATGGTTTTCTTTATTGTCTTCGGCTTTCGCAGCTTTCCCGTTGTTTCCTTCGCTGTTCCTTAGACACGGGTTCGGTGCTGTTTTTTTTTTTTGTGGCGCGGTGCTGAAGATATCGCTCGGCGGAAATGGCCCAGTGGAATATTTAATAAAATTGCGGTGCTAAGATATCGCTGGGAGGTTTCTTCAAGGCTTCCTCGGGTGACACCGTTGTGCACGCCGCCAGCCAGAGACCCCGACCCCTTCCCCGAGAGCGGGCCAGGGTCCGACATCGAGGAGCACGTTTTTTTTTATTTTTTATTTTTTTTAATTATATATATATATGAAAAGAGGAGGAGGAGGAGGAGGAGGAGGAGGAGGAGGAGGAGGAGGAGGAGGAGGAGAGCAGCTCGTCGGATGTCTGGGTCTGGCAGCCCCCGACCCGAGCAGAGGGCGCCGAAAGCCTGGCAGGCGCGGGTCGCCCGCCCAGCTGCTGCGGGGCCTGCGGCGCGCGCGGGCCGACGCGCGGACCTCCTCGGCCCGGCTGTCCGCCGACGCCGCGGGCGTCACGCCTTCGACGGAGATCGCCCTGGAGGTGGCCCCGGCGGCGGCGGCGGCAGCGGCGCAGGCGGCGACTGCGGCTGCGACCCTCGCGTCGGCGGCACGATCGCGGCGGCGACGGCGACGACGATCGCGGCGACGACGATCGCGGCGGCGACGGCCGCGGCGGCGACCCCTGCGCCGGCGGCGGCGACAGTGGCGGCCTCGGGTGTCCGACGAGATGTTCTTTTCCATCCTGGCAGTCTTGCTCGATCTCGGCTCCCGGGCCTCTCATCGGCCCCGGGGCCATCAGACACTGAACGGGGGCGAGAAATCTGCCGGGGGGCAGGGGTCGGGAGCTCTGGGGCCGCGGATTGAGCGAGTTCTATCGGGGACTGAGGGCGGGAGGAGGAGGTGGAGAAGGGAGCTGTCGCCCAACTGCTCGATTCAAAGAAATAACCCAACCAAGGGGTTATACAATAATTGTTATCTGGGGGTGATCGCACAACAACTGCAACGGCAACAACAACAAACAAACAAACAAACAAAACCAACAACAAAAAACAACAAAGCAACAACAACAACAACAACAATTACTAGCACGTGGGGACACTCCGTTCTCACCAGTGCCAGGGTTTTCATACGACGCCCGCCAATACCCCCACTTTGTGGGGGGGCCGGTTCAAGCTCTACCACATTTCCAAACGACTCTTCGCCACCACCCACACCCAGCTTCCCGCCCTATGACGTTCGGACACTTCACTTCGTGGCCTGCGGACGACCGTGGCTACTACACTGGCGCATGGGTACAGTGACTTGTTGTGGTAACATTTTCTGGACGCTGGCTTAGTATACGACTTTTCCCCCTGTTCCAACACTGGACACCTGTACTGGTTTTTGGTGGTAACGTGTTCCTGAAATTGCTCGCAAAAGCCCGTTTGACAGAAATGTTTAAAAAGTGTTGGGTTTCCTACAAATCCGCAAGAGCGCGCGGGATGAAATTTTGACATTTTTTGGGAAAACCATTTGGTTTTTGATGTTTTGATGTTAAAATCGCTACGAACACTAAGGTTTTGGACGGATTTCGTCTTGCGCGCGCGAATGTCCACTTTACTTCATTTTCTGCAATGGATTCTTGAAGTGTGGTTATGTTAGAACAAGAAATGTCATTTTATATTGTTTTTTGCAAGGGAAAGCGGGGGGGAACAAAACAACCGGATCCGGACCAACCCGTTTTGCCGGAGACTTCCTCACGAAAATGATGAAAACATGGCTGCGGCCTAGGCGCGGCGAGGGGGCCGTGCACCAGGGGCCCCAACAATAATTATTCTTTAGAAGTAATAATGTTCAACACCAACAACAACAACAACACCACCAACAACAACACCAACACAAGAACAGCAACAACAACAACAACAACAAAACAACAACAACAACAACAACAACAACAACACCAACAACAACAACAACCACAACAACAACAACAACAGCAGCAGCAGCAGCAACAACAACAACGACGACGACGACGACGACAACGACAGCAGCAGCAACAACAACACCACCACCACCAACAACAACAACGACAACAACACCAACAACACAAACGGCTCCCGCATGATACATCCGCGCAGCTGATTCCAAAAGCGTGCCCTCGTGCGGAGCACCGCCACAATGTATGCAGGAACCGCGCCCTCGTTTTGGATTTCCTTGCAATGTATTCAAACGCCGCCCCCTCGACGCTCAAGAATCGAACTCTCGCGAATTATGATACCCGAGAAAAAACCCAATCATAGGGATGTAGGGCTATAGGGCTACTGGGCTACTGGGCCATAGAGCTATAGGGCTGTAGGGCAATGGGGCTATACAGCTATAGGGCTATAGGGCTATTGAGCTATTGAGCTATAGGGCTATAGGGCTATACTGCTATAGAGCTGTAGGGCTATAGGGCTGCTGGGCTATAGGGCTATAGGGCTATAGGGCACCCCCGGGCACCTGGGCACCCCGGGGCACGCCCGGGCACCCAGGCACCCCCGGGCACCCGGGCACCCGGGCGTGCAGCGAAAATCGGCGGCAAACCTAATCAAACCATAAACCATATGAATCCGCTAGGACCCCTACAGAGGCAAGCTCTGATTGGGGAATAGTTGTTCTCGCGATTCACTTGCGAATCGCGCTATCGCTCTAGACCTTCTCGCTATTCATGCAGTTCCCACGCTTCAGCAACCCGCCTGAACGATCCAGCTGTTTGGGCCCGCCTTCCCGACCCGCCCGTTAGGGTCTCGATCAGCCCGTCTGGTTCTGCCATGGGCTTTCTGCTCCCAGCCCCCTCCTTCCAATCCTGTGCTCCATCCTTCTCCCTCCCGTAGCCCCTTTGGGGGAGTACGATCGAAGACGAAGACGGCGGGCATCGAGGGATTGGGATATACGTTTTGAATGGCACGCGAAAAGGTAAGAGCAAATAGTCTTAAAATGATGGTTGATGCTGTCGTCGTCCCACTCGGCACCCACCCGCGACCCACCCGCGACCCGCCCCCACGACCCACCCCCGCGACCCACCCGCGACCCACCCCCGCGACCCACCCCCTCGACCCACCCCTCGACCCACCCCGCGGCCCGCCCCACGACATCCCGCGATTCACCGCGCGCCCGCCCCCTCGCTCTTGTGGGCAACTGCGGGGTGCTACATACCTCTCTTGGAGACGTGCATGTGTTGCGCTTTTGCATTCGCATGCATGTGTGCATCTGCAGTTGTACACATCTACACACGTATCCCCCCCCCTTCCTCCTCCTCCCCTCCTCCTCCTCCTCCTCTCCCCCTCCTCCTCCCTCCTCCTCCTCCTCCTCCTCCTCCTCCTCCTCCTCCTCCTCCTCCTCCTCCTCCTCCTCCTCCTCCTCCCCCTCCCTGCCGCGCGCGCCACCAGTGAGAGAGCGACCCGGGGGGCCAGCGGCCCCCCCAGCCAGCCCCCCTCCCGGCGAGGCCGGCGCCTGCCCCCCGGGCCGGCCGCCCCTGCCGCCCCGCGGCGCCTTCGGCGCGCCCGGGCTGGCGCCGCGGCCAGAGGCGGGCGCGGGGGGCACGGAGGAGCGGCTCCCAAGAGGCCTCCCAGATGGGCTCGGTGTGCATGGGGTCGGAGGAGATGGGCCGCCTCGCCGATATGGGTATCGGCGATGGGCATCGGCGATGCATCGGCGGTGCGGCTCGATGTGGGGCGCGATGTGTTCCACGCCGACGTCGCGGATGTATCGCCGATGTCGCCAATGCATGGCCGATGCATCGCCGATGTTTCGGCGATGCGGCGAGGTCTTCCGACCCTATCTACTCGGACCCTATCTATGAGGCCTCTAGCGGCGAGGCTGCTTCTTAGAATCGAGTCGGGGGTGTCCAACTACAGGAGGAAGATGCAAGAATAGTCCTGCAAGAGTGTGGGGAGGATGTGCCAATTATGTTTTGAGTATTGTTCCGCATGTCTTGATTATGTTTTATGTTTCTTCCGCGATCCGCCTGTAGGAGGACATGCCCGACCTAATCTCAGGAGGAGCCGAGCAATGCCGTCAGCTGGCTGCTGCTGCTGCTACTCTTCCGTCCGTCCCTCGCCGCTGTGATACTTCAGAAGAGGACAAGGTACCCATACCGCTACCCTCCGTCCGTGTGTCCCTTGTTGGGGCCTCCTGGGAGGCCCTCGTCGCCACCGCTGGATTCGCTTTGAAATTCTGGTCAGAACGCACCTCGGGAGAGGTCCGGGAAGTAGCGGTATCGGTACCTGTTGATATTATGTTTCGTCGCCCGACGGGGGCTCGATGGCGACGCGGGCTGCACGCGGCGCCGACGGACGCACGACGCAGCATCGACAGGCGAGAAGCGCGAACGGCTCTTGGAAAGGTCCCCACGACGAGCATATAAGGCTTTACTCAAGAAGCGTCTTAGCTCGCCTATAGGCCCACCAAAGAATGTTCTAAGAACCTTTTGTGGTCTGCACGACATGTTCTTAGAACATTTCTGGCTGAGGCTGCCTTGGTTTAACCCACCGGGCCTATGGTCTACGAACATTGTTTTTGTTCTTCGAACATTCTTGGGGTTCTAAGAACATGTCGCGGTAGGCCTGTAGGAATGCCGGGACCGTCGGCCACTGCTCAATTTTGACATCTGTAGATGAGGACCGCGCCCTCTGAGAATCAGGGGTGCTTCTGAGAGGCCTTCCCCCCTCCCTCCCGTGGCGAGCCCGGGCCTGCTCGCGTCGTGGCAAACAAAGCAGCAGGGCTGGCGCCGCTTCTTCCGTCGTCTTCGGCCCCTTCGGGGCCCTCCCTGGGCCCCGGGACGGTCAGAAGACACGGCTCCTCAGGACGAAGAGCCCGTCGCATGGCGCCAACATCGCAGAGCGGAGCTCGTTCGGAACACAATGGGGTGGGCCCATGTTGTCCTGGAGAATCTTTCGCTTTGGATTTCGAAGTGAATTTCGTGCGGATTTGTTTTGGCCAGGAAGGAAGACTAAAAAGGATCCGCGTGAAATGCACTTCGTTTTTCGATTGCCGTTTCTGGGTCGTGCGTTGACGCAAATCCACACAATAATCCGCTGCAGCACGTCTGCAAGGTCGGTGCCATGACCCGTCCCGGGATGAAAATCCCATCTCAGGATGAAAAACCTGTCTCGGGGGAAGGGTCGGGACTTCCAGGGGCCGCGTCTGGGAAAGATCAGGGCTTCGCGTGCCTAGGAGGCGTAAAACTACTGGTTCGCCCACGTGCCCGCCAAAGAATGTGCTAAGGACCCCGTGTGGTCTGCACGAGATTATCTTGGAACGTGCCTGACTGAGACCGTCTTGTTTTAATACATCGATGTCATGTTCTGAGGACATCGTTTGTGTTCTTTGGGTTCTCTTCGTTTCTGACAGCGTGTCGTGGTAGGCCTACCCATCGGCGTCGGTGGGAGAATGCAACGGCGGCGAAGTCCGAACCTGACCCTCGCCGACTCACGATTCAGGCAACTCGATGGGCGGCGGGGGTAGGGTTCGGAATTGATGGAACACGTGGCGAGATTCGAACCGTGCCCCCGCCTCCCTCGATTCAGGAGAACCGATAGTTAGCAGAGGATCCCGGATTTGGTCAAACACGCTGCGCAATCCGAGCCCTACCCCCGCCCCCCATCGATCCAGGAGGATCGATGATTGCTTTGGGTAGGGTCCGGATGTCGCCACCTGGCCCAGACCCCGGCGTCGCGTGATGCTCGCAACGGGCGATTAATCGCCCCGTTTCGGGTCGCCTCTCGGGCCCGGTGAGCCTGACGTGTCGCTCTGGCTCGAGACGTGCCGCAGAACGATGGGATCCAGGGCTCTGGTCGAAGTTTTTCTTGCGATGTTGCATCTGTTTCGCGACGCTGGATCTTGAGGGAGGGCTTGACCCCTTCCCAAGGCCACTTTCTCGTCCCGAGTAGTTTTCGCATGGTCCCAAGGCTTGGTGGCGGCGTCTGCTTTTTTCACGACGCGGACCCCCCGGTGGCTCGACCACCTTCCGGGACTGGCGCTTCATCCTGAGCCGTTATTTGACGCTCCCGACCCTCGGCGCGAGCAGCAGCGAAGAACCTCCCGTTCTGATTTTCCCACCAACGCGAACTCACTCGCCTCTGCTGGCGTTTCACCCTGAGCCCCGTTGTCTGACGCTCTCGACAGGGGCCCGCTGGGCGCCCCTCCTCGGGGCTGGGAGTATACTCCAGATTTCGTAATATAAGGGAGGGGGTCTCATTTTGGGGGGGGTCTCTTCCAAGCTATCTTGGAGGGCCTGTAGGGGTCTGGGGACGATGTTTTGGAGGGTTCTCCCACGGGGGAGGTCTGAAATGGCTTGTCTTGGAGGGGCCAGACCCCCTCCCTTTACGAAATCTGGAGTATAGCGAAGAACCTCCCGTCGTGAAGTGTTTGGTTCCACGACGCGCGCGCGGGGGGGGGCCAGGCGGAGCAGCTCTTCTTCGCGGCGGACGGCCCGAGCGTGCAGGGGCTCCTGCAGGAGCTGGCGCGGCGCTGCGAGGCTCAGGAGGGAAAGAAACACACAGCCACAGTTCATCGTCGATTCCCCCGAAAATATGGGGAAATATGGGAAGTGGGGGGGCAGACAGAGCCCCAGGAAATATGGGAACGTATGGGGAATCTTTTTACTTGTGTCTATTTCTTTGTGTGTCCCCTGGGGCCCCCTCAGAGGCGCCAGCGCCGCACGGCACGGCCTCGCAGCGCGAGGTGCTCTGCGAGCTGCGCTGCCGGGCGGCGGACCTGCGCTGCCGCCGGCAGCTGGAGCTCCGAAGGGGGAACAAGGGGCATCGCGAGTGGCGCCCGTGTTAGTCGGGTCGGGCCGCAGCGCCGCTGGTTTCGGGGGGTTACGAAATTTGCTCCTCCTCCTCCTCCCCCTCCTCCTCCTCCTCCTCCTCCTCCTCCTCCTATCCTCCTCCTCCTCCCCTCCTCCTCCTCCCCATCCTCCTCCTCCATTCAGGCTGGGCGAAAGGGGGGGATAGGGAAAGGGGGGGTTACGAAATCTGCCGCATGCAGCTAGTTTCGGCCTCACCGAGGGGCCCATTCCTCGACACATAGCCGCCTCCGGCTCCGGGAGGCGCCGGGAAAATCGGCTACGTGAGCTGATTCTCAAAGCCCCCCTTTGCTATCCCCCCCTCTCGCCCGACCCGAGTCGGGCCTGCTGGGAGGCTCGCCTGGTCACCGCTGGACTCGCCTCGAGATCTTGGTGCGAGCGCACCCTGGGAGAGGTCCGGGGAGCAGCGGTATGAGTACGGCTCTACTGCCCCAGGGGAGAGCGAGTAATTAGGAGGAGGGTGTCAATTACGAGGTCGAGGGTATGGAGGATCCTCTTCGAGTGTTTGACAATGTGCGGATGTGCATTTCCAGAAGATGTGTATGACGATCACTGGAGTACGAATTGGAGGGCGAGGGAGAGGAGGAGGGCAAGCTAGGTGCGCTCGGGCCATATCTGATGTCCTACCCCTCCCACCCATCCCTTCCCTGCCTGTTCCGCTGTGTGTTCTCCATTCTGGAGGACCGACATGGATACGGAAAGAATGGGTTCGAAGACGAACAAAAGACCCTGTCCGTTTTGAGCAGGAACCGCTGTCGGCGTCGCTGCGGGCTGTGTCCATTTGAGACAAAAGGCCGCCTGCCCAACAGCGGCCGCTGTCGGTTTTGGACAACATTAGTCGCTGGGCATCGTTCCCCTTTTTTCCGTACCCATTTCGGGCGTCACAATCTATCAGCCGACGCGCTGCAGAGCAGACCTGGAACTCCAGACAGGGGGACCCTTCCCCTGGCGTGCCTCTGGCGCTGGGCCCCCCCTGGCGCGCCTCTGGCGCCGCCACTGGCGCACTCCGCTCTTCAGAGAAGGGGGGTCCAGCGTTCGGAGGAGGTGAGGGAGGAACACGAGCTGGCGCAGGATGGGCGAGGAGGTGGCGGGCGAGGAGGTGGAGGGCGAGGGGGCGAGATCCGACGTTGCAAGAAAATTGCGGCATCGCAGAAAATCACGACCGGAGCCCCGGACCTTATCATTCCGCGTACTTTTTCTAGCTGGGCCGGCCCGTGACGGTCCCAGGGCCCGAAATCGAACAAAAACGCCCGTCGTGAAAGAATCGCAGCGCCAGGATCCCAGGGGAGGGCGCGGAGGTGCAGGGCGAGGGGGGCGAGGTGGAGGGCGAGAGGGGGCGAGGTGTAGGGCGAGGGGGGCGAGGTGCAGGGCGAGGAGGTGCAGGGCGAGGAGGTGCAGGGCGAGGAGGTGGAGGGCGAGGAGGTGGAGGGCGAGGGGGCGGAGGGCGAGGGGGCGGTGGAGGGCGAGGAGGGGGCGAGGTGGAGGGCGAGGAGGTGGAGGGCGAGGGGGGGCGAGGTGGAGGGCGGTGGAGGGGGAGGGGGCGGTGGAGGGGAGCCTTCGGCTGCCGCCAGGAGCGCCAGCGGGGCGAGGAGGCCCTGGGCCGGGTCGCGGCCGCGCTGCGCGACGGCCGGGAGCGGCTCGGCCCTCAGGAGGAGCAGCTCCGGAGGCTCAAGGATCGAGGAGCGACCAATGGCCTGCTCGGAGGCCTAGAGGCTCGGAGGAGGGAGAGGCACCCACACCACTACCCTTCGCTCGTGCTCATCGTTGTGGGCCTCCTGGGAGGCCCTCGTCGCCACCGCTGCATTCGCCTCGGAATTCTGGTCAGAACGCGCCCCGGGAGAGGTCCGGGATCGAGGAGCGACAAATGGCCTGATCGGAGGCTTAGGGATGAAACAGCGTGTTCTACCGCTGCTGGCGGAAAACCGGGGGGGGTCACTACCGGTTCGAACCCCTCCCCCCCCCCCCCTCCGAAAACCGGGGGGGGTCACTACCGGTTCGAACCCCCCCCCCCCCAGTTCATCATGAAAAGGGGGGGGGGTCACTACCGGTTCGAACCCCCCCCCCCTCGAAAACCGGGGGGGGTCACTACCGGTTCGAACCCCCCCCCCCCGAAAACCGAGTGGGGGTGCGGACAGTGGTGGGGACGGTGGTGGTGGGGACAGTGGTGAGGGGACAGCGGGACAGTGGGGACAGTGGGACAGTGGTGGGGACGGTAGTGGTGGGGACAGTGGTGAGGACAATGGTGAGAACAGTGGGGACAGTGGACAGTGGTGGGGACGGTGGTGGTGGGGACAGTGGTGTGGGGGAATGAGGTGGAAACAGTGGGACAGTGGAGGGTACAGTGGTGGTGGGGACAGTGGTGAAGGCGGTGGCGAGGACGGCGGTGGGACAATGGGACAGAGGTACAGTGGGGACAGTGGTGGGACAGTGGGGACAGTGGTGGGAACAGTGGGACAGCTCAGTGGGACAGCGGAGGAGTCAGTGGGACAGTGGGGACAGTGGGGATAGTCGGGCAGTGGTTGGGTCCGTGGAGACAGTGGGGAGAGTGGAACCGTGGTGGGAACAGTGGTGGGGACAGTGGGGACAGTGCGACAGTGGTGGGGGCACTGGTGGGGACAATAGGGACGGTGGTGGAACCAGTGGGGACAGTGGTGGTGAGGACAGTGGTGCTGGGAACAACAGTGGGGGATGTGATGCGAGCGGTGGTAGGGACCGGGAGTCGTTTGCTGGCGGTGAGTGGGGGGGGTGGGGAGGGGTTCGAACCGGTAGTGACCCCCCCTCCGGTTTTTGACGGGGGGGGGGGTTCGAACTGGTAGTGACCCCCCCGGGCGGTTTTCGACGGGGAGGGGGGGGAGGGGGAGGAGGGGTAGGGGAGGGGGGGGGGTTGCCGGGGGAGGAGGGGGGGGGGGGGAGCGCAGAGGGGGGGGGATTTCGGAGGGGGGGGGGGGTTCCGGAGGAAGAGGGGGGCAATTTTCCAGAGTAAAGCGGCGGTGGATCACGCTCTCTCGTAGGGATTGACACCAGCATTGAATCGGACATGTCCCTCTACAGGAGGAATGTTCAGAAATAGACAAGAACTGATCTGTGACGATATTCTAGTATTTTTGGGGGCTTTCTCGGAGGCCTAGAGGTTGACACCAACACCACAATCGTCGAAGAAGAAAAAGAATAACAAAAAACGCCATACACAGACTTTTGGCGCTCCGCGCGGATTTCTTGGATCCGCGTTGTGGCCCCCTCCTGGCGGCCCCCCCGGCGCCGCCCCCGGCGCGCTCCGCGCGCTAGGGAGGGGTGTCCAGCGCAGATCCTAGAAATCCGCGCGGAGCGCCAAAAGTTTATGCTCATGCATTTTTCTTCTTCTATAGAGGTTGACAGCAGCACCCATATCGGCGGTGTGCCTGCACCGAGGGAAGGTGATCCCGATCTCGGCGAGAATGGTAATACTCAGGATGCGTGGTCGAAGCATTGCCGTCGACACCAAAATCTCGGATCGGCTTCCCCTGGTGGGGCAACCCTTGATTTCGGTGGTGCCCATGTCCGGGTGTCCAACATAACTCCGACGGTCGGACTCCATATGAACTTCTAAAACTTATCCGGAAGGAGTCCTCATCGTCGTCCCTTTGAGGCGCTTCTCCTGTCTCCTATTCACATTCTCTTTCTCGCCCTGGAGGGGGCTGTGCATCCTCCCCCTTCTCCTGATCCTTCTCCACCCCTTCCTCCTGACCAAAGAGCGAAACACTCCATGAACATGCGTGAATTGTCGGAGGTCCGCGTGGATTTCTGGGATCGGGCGCCTCCGGCGCCGCCCCTTGCGCGCTCCGCGCGCCAGGGAGGGGGGTCCACCGCCGATCCAAGGAAAACGCGCGGGCCTCCGAAGCTTTTTGCATTTCTTCTGCAAAAATCATAATTATCTGAAGGAGGAGCTCGCCGAGGCGGTTGAGTGCACGAAGGCCGTCCTTGAAGGCGTCGTCGGGAAGAAGGTGGCGCTGAAGTCCGCGGCCGACGAGCTGCAGCGGGAGCGCCAGCAGACGTACCACGACGAGGTCACGGCCGAGAAGCTCGTCCACGACCTCAGGCTCGTGGTCCCTTGGCCCCCCACCCCAGGGGCCAGGAGGCCCAGGAGCAAGCCCAGGAGCAGCCCTGCAGGCCGTAGGTGCGACTTTTTAAAAGCCCTCTGGGCACTAGCGCCCGCCCCCCCTTCCCCCTCCCCGCCCCATAAGATATACCGCTTCCCCTCGCCACCTGCGTGGTGCGCCTCCAGCACTGCCATTCTGATGTTTGCAGGCTACTGTGGTGCGTGCAGGCCACTTTCACATTCGTCGTAGTGTCCGAGGGCCTCGCAGGGCTTGCAGACGCATCCAGAGTCCGTCGGAGATCTCCTGAGGCCTCGGGGGACTTCTGTAGAATTCAGAGGCGGCCGCCGTCGACGTCGTTGTCGGTGTCGTCGTCGTTATCGTCGTTGTCGTGGTCGTTATCCTCGTCGTCCTCGTCGTCCTCATCGTCGTCTTTGTCGTCGTCGTCGAGGTTCTCGTCGTGGTTGCCATCGTCGTCGTCGTCGTCGTCGGCGTTGTCGTCATCCTGGTCTTCGTTTTAGTCGTCGTCCTCGTCCCCCTCCCCATCCTCGTCCTCGGCCCGTTCCTCGTCCTCGTCCCTGTCGTCGTCGGCGTCGTCGTCGTCGCCGAGGGCCTCGAAATGCTTCCAGACGCCTCCAGGAGTCCCCGGAGACCTCCTCAGGCCTCCAGAGACCTACCTCAAGGGACCTTTAGAGGCGGCCGTCGTGGTCGTCATCGTCCTCGTCCTCGTCCTAGTTCTCTTCCTCGTCGTCGTCGTGGTCGTCATCTTCCTCGTCCTCGTCGTCGTCTCCGTCCTCGTCCTCCTCATCCTCATTGTCGTCGTCGTGGTCGTCGTCGTCCCCGTCCTCGTCCTTGTCCTCGCCCGTGTCCTCAACGTCGGGGGCCTTCAGATCGTAGCCATTTTGGCTCAAGCTCTTGGCTCAAGCCCAGGTGCCATGTCGTTCTGGATAGTCTCAAGAAGTCGTTATGTCCCTCGAAGCGTCGATCAAGAACTGCGGCCTGACAAAACAATGGAGCGCCGCACTGCGGATGCTCCGCGAAGGAAGCCAATTGGGTGTGCAACTCGTCCCAAGCCACTACGTTGCGACTGTCAACGCATGCAGAAAAGGCGGGCAATGGCAACACGCGTTGTCAGTGCTCAGTGAAATGTGGAAGGCGAAGCTGGAGCCCGACGTCATCAGCTGCAGCGCTGGGATCAGCGCGTGCGGGATGGGCCGGCAGTGGCAGCGGGCGCTGGCGCTGCTGAGCGGGATGTGGGGGGTGCAGCTGGAGCCCAACGTCATCAGCACCAATGCCGCGATCAGTGCGTGCGCGAAAGGCGAGCAGTGGCAGCGGGCGTCAGTGTTGCTCGACGAGATGTCGGAGGCGAGCGTGGAGCTCGACGTCATCAGCTACAACGCTGGGATCAGCGCGTGCGAGAAGGGCGAGCAATGGCAGCGGGCGCTTGCGCTGCTGAGCGCGATGTGGGAGGTGAAGCTGGAGCCCAACGTCATCAGCTACAACGCTGGGATCAGCGCGTGCGAGAAGGGCGAGCAGTGGCAGCGGGCGCTTGCGCTGCTGAGCGCGATGTGGGAGGTGAAGCTGGAGCCCAACGTCATCAGCTACAACGCTGGGATCAGCGCGTGCGAGAAGGGCGAGCAATGGCAGCGGGCGCTGGTGTTGCTGGGTGAAATGCGGGAGGCGAAGCTGGAGCCCGACGTCATCAGCTACAGCGCTGGGATCAGCGCGTGCGAGAAGGGCGAGCAGTGGCAACGGGCGCTTGCGCTGCTGAGCGCGATGTGGGAGGTGAAGCTGGAGCCCAACGTCATCTCTACTACATTGCAGGGCCCAGTGCGTGCCAGAAGGGCGCAGGCTCCATTAACTCATAATCGCCCCGGGCTGGCCCCGGGCCGCCCCGGGAGGCCCCAAGACACGCCAAGGGGGCCCCAAGAGGCCCCCAAGACGGCCCTGGAGGGCCCCGGCACGCCCAGCGAGGGGCCCAAGACGCTCGAGATTGGCCCAAGACGGCTCCAGAGGCCTCCAAGACGCCCCAAGAGGCCTCCCAAGAGGCGCCCCGAGAGGGCCCCGAGCGGCAGAAACCGTCGATTTCCATTGTGTTTTTCGATGTTTTCGGCCTCCTCGCCTTTTCGGCTTCCCGACGCTCCAAGACGGCCCAAGACGTCCCCCAGACCGCTCCAAGACGGCCGAAGAGGACCCCAAGAGAGCCCCAAGACGGGCCAAGAGGGCCCCAAGACGGCCCCAAGGCGGCCCAGGACGGCCCCAGGACGGCCCAGGAGGCGCCCAAGACGGCCCAAGAGGCACCCAAGACGGCCCCAGGAGCGGCCCAAGACGGCCCACGACAGCCCAAGAGGCGTCGAGGCGGGTCTCAGACGGCCCCGAGACGGCCCAAGAGGCACCCAAGACGGCCCAAGAGGGCCCTAAGAGCCCCCCCGGGAGGCCCAAAAGAAGGCCGAAGAGGCTCCGAAACGGCCCCCACGAAGCCTTCAGTGCCTTCAGAATTCCCTCCAGGAGCGGGGGAGCGGACGAGAGGCGACAGGCATATCGCAAGCAAAAACGCCCCAAGAGATCCCCAAACGGCCCCCACGAAGCCCTAAGTGGCCTCAGAATTGCTTCCAGGAGGGGGGGAGCGGACGAGAGGCGACCGGCATATCGAAGGCACAAAAGAGCAATGTTGGACGCTCCGGGGGCCTTCGATGTTTCTCCGTTGGGGAGAGTCGTCGTAGGATCGACGATTGCCCACCGAGGGCAGCGAATCCAGTGGAAACCCAAGAGGCCCCCAGGAGCCCCAAAAGAGATCCCCAAGAGGTGCCACGGGGCTTACAAACTGCTTCGAAGCGAGGGGGGCGGACGAGGGGACCGCCTCAGGAGGTTTTGGACGGTTTTGGGCCTCAAGATCGTCCGCTTCACGACGGTTTTGGAAGGATTTTGGCCTTCTCGCCTTTTCCGCTTTCCGACGCTCGAAGACGGCCCCAGAGGCCTCCAAGAGCGCCCCAGAACGGCCCAAGAGGTTTCCAAGAGCGCCCCAAGACAGCCCAAGAGGGCCCCAAGACGACCCAAGAGACGCTCAAGACGGCCCACGAGGGCCCGAAGACAGGCCCAAGAGGGGGCCAAGAGGGGGACCACGGACCGAAAATCCGAGCCTTCCGCCCCAAGAGGGCGCCAGGAGGCCCAAACAGGCCCCCAAGAGGCCCCAAGGGGCCGCCAAGAATCCCCCGAAGAGGCCCCAGGAGGTTCCCAAGGAGCCCAAACGAGGACCGGCCTCCTCACGGTCCCAGACGGCTCCAAGACAGCCCCACGAGGACCCCGATGGGCCCAGGACGGCCTACGGACGCGCCCATGAGGGGCCCACGACGAACCAAGACGGCCCCATCAGGGCAAACGGCGCCCTCAAGACGGGCCTAGACGGCTCCAAGACGGCCCTTTGAGGGAGCCAACGCGGCCCCACACCCTTCGGGCGCACACTTGGGGGGGCTGGGAGCTTGCGACAAGTCTCCCACATTCATTGTCCTGCCCCATTCTGTTCGCCTGGAGGCCTCCTCCAACCCTGTGGGCGAACAAGAGGAATCCCAGCGGGACGCCAACCCTGGGGCCCGTGGGCCCCGCGCCGCTTGGGCAGAAGACGAACGCCGGGTCTGACAGGCCAGCTATCGCCCCCCTTTGCCCGATATGCTGTGCCATTCTGTTCCCCCAGGGGCCTTGGCAAACTCTTCGGGCCAAGCAGACTGGACCCCTGGGACAGCAGCCAATTGATATGACCCTGGGACCTCTCCGCATTCTTCGGACGAGCATCTGGGGGGCCCAGGAGATTCGGACATGTCTTCCCCATTCCTTGCCCTGTCCCGTTCTGTTCGCCCGAAGGCCTCCACAGACCCTCTGGGCGAACAGAATGGGACATGGCGAACAAACCCTCCCGTTGGCGGTGATGCGACTGGATCGCACCATCAAGGCGCGCCCGGAGGTGATGGCCGACCCAACAGCGGTTTCTCTTAAGAGTTCACTGGATTTCAAATTTTCTTGAAGCTCTCTTGGGCCCTCCCTGTAGATCCTTGCGAGCCTCCCCGGCGCTTTCGGTGGCTTTCCCCGATGGCCTCCCGAGCCCTTCCCCGAGCGCTCCTGAGACGCCTCAGATGGGCTTCGACTTCGACGCACATCCCCGAGAGACTTCGAAACTGTCCTCAATAGGAGGGGGGTGAACGAGCAGTGCGCTGGGCCAAGCTGCTGCAGCGCTGCAAGAGCTCGGACACGAAGGCGCGGTCTCGCTGCCGCCGCCCGAGCCGCCGCCGTGTTTGTAGATTTTCGGTACAATCTGCGCCGTTCCTCCGAGAACCATTCCAGAAAGATGTCGTGGACGGAGTCCACGGGTCAGCCCTAGTCAGCTACAACGCTGGGATCAGCGCGTGCGAGAAGGGTGAGCAGTGGCAGCGGGCGCTTGCGCTGCTGAGCGCGATGTGGGAGGTGAAGCTGGAGCCCAACGTCATCAGCTACAACGCTGGGCTCAGCGCGTGCGAGAAGGGCGAGCAATGGCAGCGGCCGCTGGTGCTGCTGGGTGAAATGCGGGAGGCGAAGCTGAAGCCCGACGTCATCCCTTTACGGCCCCAGGCTGGCCCCGGGCCGCCTCGGGAGGCCCCAAGACACGCCAAAAGGGCCCAGAGAGGCCACCAAGACGGCCCCGGAGGGCCCCGGCACGCCCAAAGATGGGCTTGGACGCTCGAGATTGGCCCAAGACGGCTCCAGAGACCTCCAAGACGGCCCAAGAAGCCTCCCAAGAGGCCTCCTAAGAGGGTCCCGAGTGGCAGAAATCGTGGATTTCCATTGTGTTTTTCGATGTTTTTGGCCTTCTCGCCTTTTCGGCTTCCCGAGGCTCCAAGACGGCCCCAGAGGTCCCCAAGACCGCTCCAAGACAGCCGAAGAGGCCCCCAGGAGAGCGTCAAGACGGGCCAAGAGGGCCCCAAGACGGGCCCCAGCAGGCCCCGGCGCGCTCCGAGACGCTCCAAGACGAGCC